TCCCAGTACGTTCATGAGAAATGGAATTGACCAAAAAAATAAACACTTCAGAGTTCTTAAAAGTTGTTGGCTCAACAACAGCAACAAGGGGGCTGCAAATCAGCCAAAAAGATGAATTTCAGAAAATCATTTACTTGAGAACTCAACATGCATCCTGTCCAGCCAAGCACCAAAACAGTGACTTAAACCAATGTTTAACAGCACTTCTTTGAACTTGACAGGTTGCAGGTCCAGAAGGAAGAAGATGCCATAGCAGCACACCTGAAACCCATCCACGAGGCACTCCATCCCCAGCAAGAAAGCTGCTCAGTGTCTTAGCTCATTCACATTCCCTCTCCTCTCTGCCGAGGCTGCCAAGCACGATTACAAGTGCCAGCTGCTGCGGTGCCTGTTTATACTCACAGCCCTGTCCACTAGGAACAGACCAGAGACCACAGGGTCAACGTTCAAGTCTTGAACAAGTATTTACAATTATAAAAAGTAAAACAATGGAGAATTCTCAGAGTATTTTCTGTTCTGCTATATCTTGTAGGATAGGCTGCTTAAATAATGCTTCCTAATGGGACTAAGATTCTCGTGGGATTGGTAATGACTCATTGACTTCAGCCTGGTTTGCATCAATGATGATTATCCACTGCCCTGAACAAAAAGAGCCAGTGGCTTCAATCTATTTCCCAGGGAACAGGTGTCCTCGTAATTTCACCAGCAGAAACAACATCCTTCTTCACAGTCTGAAAACTGAACCACCTCCCTATGCTGCACAGCTGCGAGTACCTTCAAGTAACGCTCGGCCCAGAGCCGTAAGGCAGCTTTAAACAGCAGGTACGTTAGAACTAAGAATGCATGGCAGACGCACATTTATACACTGGCAGTGACAGAGCTTCTGCTACAACCCCTCTTTGAATGGGACTGTCTGGACTTTGTACCCAGATCAGCAGAATACAGATTCATTACTCTAAGAATGCAGCACACTGCTTTTTGCAGTCTCCCCTCTCCACACTCATTTTCACTCTTACAATAACAGTTAATGCACTGACTTTATCTTGACACTGGCACCATTGGAAAGTACCTGCACCTAGGTATGGGAAAAAACACATACTCTAAAAAGAAAAGCACAAGTTATCTGATATCAGCTATCCAGGCAAAGCCACTATTTGTATTTATTTATTCTCAAAGAGTTGTCCATTATCCAAAGGACAAGGTGAGACACTGCAGTAGCCAGACCTAGTGTACCACACAGGTGACAGCAATCGTATAAAGGTTGGAAGAAGAGGACTGCATGCCTACAGAAGAAACGTAAATGATACAATTAGCATTGCTTCCTTTCATCAACATCCACTCTTAAAGCAACTGCTGCAGTAGCTAAAGTGTCACCTGCAGGCTTTCAACAACTTCAAAATTTGAGTCTGTTAGGTACTTGCGTGGAAAGAGAATTATTCATCAACATAATTGATGAAGAACACAGGAAAGAAAGAGAGGAGGATAAAACAAGGTGTGAGAGAGAAATACAAAGCCTCTTCCTACTATTCACCGTGGACACCGAACAGGAGGAGCGCGCAGCAGTTTGTGCAGAACAAGCTGGCAGCTCAAGGAGACAGCATCCAGCTGCTGCGGGCCCTTGCCATTCATCACATTCAGCGCAGATGAGGAATCCGATAGCACCGGCCTACCAAATCCTTCAGGAACAAGAGCACAGTCTTCTCCTTCTGTCTAGCTTTCTGTTAAACTGAGCTGATACACTGAGAAACCTCTGCAGGTTCTACCCACGATTATAGATTTCTTTTACTAAGTTTTTCTGGGAGCCTGTGGACCTTCTCTTTCATGCCCTTATTCTCATAAGTAATCTTCATTCACATCAATATTCTCATGGAAACCCACATCATATACAGCAGTGCCAACAGTGTACTCCTCTAGTATGACACAACATCAAATAGCCTGACCTCTTCTTTTGTCTGAGCAAGAATATACTTAAAATCAAAACTACTCTCTTTGAGCTTTAAGGTACAATACAATTTCAGATGCTTGGAGTTTTATTTTTAATTAAGCATTAAAATATGATCAAGGCAACATCAAAGCAACAAATACTGTTTAAAATGTTTCCAAAAAGAATTATTTTGAATGCATGGTTTTGCTGTAAGCTTTGACATGAAGTTTTTCTCCATTTTTCTCTTCATTAAGAGCAACTCCAGGTGAAAGACTACTATGTATTAGTGACCTGTGCCTCTCCATGGAGAATTTTCATGAAAAGTGATTTGAAGGTCTCCTAGTTCACCACTCGCGATAACTAAACTGCTGTTCAGAACCATGCTTTTTATTGCAAGCAGCTTGGAACTTTTATACATGGCAATAAAGGAAAAGACTCCAAAGTAAGAGCAGAAGAGGAGGAATTGGTATACATTTCATCTCATGCAAACACTTAAAACCACAACACAAAAACTAGAAATGTTCAAAGAAGCTGGATGTAGAAACTGAACTGGGTTAGCTCTGGTCCCACCTGAGCTGAACCTCTGCCTCACCAGCAAATGGGCTGGCCTTTAGCTGAGATTGATGGGAGTTCTTTCAAAAGATAGATCTGCATGACAAGCAGTCTACAGGCCACCACAAAGTCACCCGCTGACAGATGACACGGTTTCCAATTTTCACAAAGCTCACCTTCTCTTTTTAGGAAGTTTGCTCTGAAGCTGGAGGCCACTCAAGAAATAACAGGAGTTGGGTTTCTTTTTTTATTTTTCAATGTTATTCTAATGCTTTACAAATCAAATTACATGAGCCCAACTTAGTCGGCAAGTCAACATTTGTTGAAACAACATTTCTGGCCCAGAGGTGAGCATAATGATTCCTTTAAAAGCTGTTTACAGCTGTTGATATACTGACCAAGAGGTGCTGTTAACAAATGGGCCAGGTTAATGATGCATAGCTCTGTTCTCTTCCGCAACAAGCCATCTTCCATATGAAGGCACGTGAAGAAATAAAACCTGTTCCTTCTGGTCATTTGCACAGTGACTCCAAAACCAGCAAAAGATTTGGAGCAGGAAATTGGCAAAAGTAGTCGTAGCTTAGCCATGCATACAAGCATACCATTTGTGAGCTACAATCCAGACTAACAGTATAAAATCCGCCAATTCAGGCCCGCTGTATACTGTGCTGAGTTTTGTTTATTCGGCCTCAAACTAGAGATAGTTTCCAGGTATGCTCTGTTTAAAGACTCTCCGATCCTTGTTTACAAGATACTTTCCGCTTGTATCATGAAACCTTCCACTTGTTTATGGTCTGGGTTGGGTGTGGATTTTTCTTCTCTGTTGATTTTTTTCCTTTTTTAAATAAAAAAAGCAAGAAAAAAAAGAAAATCCCTTACATTCAAAATATTATCAGAATAAGCTCTTGAAAGAGTAACTGCACAAAAGATAAAACCCCTGTATACAGGCTGCAACATGAGATAAGCTTGTGTACACATGGTTATGACAGAAGTTCTCAAAGTGTTCTTAAACTGCAAGAGGAACATCTGGTATCCCTGAAGTTAAAGAGTATCAGTAATCTTTCTAAGCAGTGTTTAAAACCCCTTGCAGGTTTTTTCCACCTGAAAAAATGGGTAGCAACTTTCAACTGATAGGAAACGTAGTCGGTGACTTCCCTCTACAAATAATTTTTTACTGTTTTGTTGAGCCAGACAGACACAGCTCCAGATTTCTCCAGCATACAGCTCTGTCTACTCTCTTCAAAAATACTGCCATCACCTCACGTGCAGGTTCTGGGCTCTAACACAGACACACTAAACTATGTTAGCCATAGAGTACGATTCATATTTTTTAAAAATCCAATTAATAGAGAGTTTATATCACATCCTACAGATTATTACCCTACCATATATAACGCACAATTCCTTCTTTGCCATGTTCAAAGTAGAAATTATAAACAGACATTAAAATATCAGTCATAATTAATATTTAATTTCAAACAATGTATCTGGAAACTGAGGTCTGCACTGTGAATCTCAAGAAGGGGGGAAAAAAAAAAAAAAGACAGGAAGTGCCAAAGTGTGTTTCCACCTGTTCACAATGTGTACCTAAGCCAACGTTCATCGCCCACCCTCAGACATCTGCACCTGAGTTAGACATTCACACCAACTGCTTTGGACAGACCTACGTCTACCTCGCAGATGCAATGCACCTCACTCTCATGTGCTAACGTCTCCTCAGACTGCAGGAGACGTGTAGACAGCCAGCTCGGAGTGAAGCTTGATCCCACCCCTACCAGTATATCTTTCATGGAGTTAAAATCAGCATTTTGGCTTCCTCTTTCTTTTTTTTTTTTTATTCTTTCCAGTTCCGTGACAATGCAGGTGAGATGACCTACTCTAACAACATTAACCAATTTGGAAGAGACTCAGAGGTTACTCAGTCTTTTGATGCTGTAATGTCAATGGCAAAATGCTATCCCATCCCTACCACAGCCAAACCAAAGCAACATATGACTCAGGCTGGCTGCAGGAAGGAGAGTTAACAAGATAAACAGTGAGACTTCCTTTATTTTAACAGTAAGGCTATTTCTAATGCAAAGGTTGTACATGTGTGATTTGGTAATTGGTTACGCTGCATAGAAAAATATTTGCTCGGAAAACGCATTATATTTGCTTGTTAAGAATAAAGCCTACTTCTCTTTCAGTGCAGTTTAATGATTTAATCTGCATCACCCCCAGCTTCTCAGCAGATGTAAACTCCAGGCAGAGCACCGTGCACC